AGCTGGAGTGGGACTCAGGATAGCTTGTTCAGTGAGTGAGTGAGCAGAAGAATGGACACAGGTGTAGGTACGTCCCTGTTGACAGTCTCACCTACAGAGACCAGTGGGTGACAGTTTCCATCATCACATTTCGGAACAGGTTTTTCTGGGACTTGTCCAGCAGGCTCCACTCTTCCTGGGTGAAGTTGACTGCTACATCTTTAAATGTCACCAATTCCTAAAAAACTATGGATGTTCTGGTTTAGACAGAGCCCTAGTGCTGTCCAGAGTGGGTGGCTGAGCTGAGGAAGGATGGGGACTGGGCGCAGCTTCAGGAGAAGGAAGCATCACTACTCACCAGGGGCTCCATGCTCAACAGCTCAGTCACCGGGAGCCTTTCTCGGGATCTCACTCACAGCCGATCCAAGCACTAGGCAGGCCAATCTGAGGATGGAGAAGCTACAAGACCCTACTCCTGTGCTTACAGACCCACCTGAATTCAAGCCCCCAACCTTCACCTGGGTGTAGCCCCAGCCCAGCACTCAGAAACCAGTGCTGCATCTAGGGAATACTGTGCAGCTTCTTCTCTCCCAGATCCCATATGAAGAGCTAGAGCTGAGGTTGCTAACACAGAAAGTCAGAGTCCGCAAATAGGAATGTGCTAAGCATTGACTTTGTGTTCATCAGCCTGTGGCACCCAGAATCACTCAGTGTCCTCCCTGATTCCAGCCCTCGGGGACCCTGACTCTCGCAGAGTAGATGATGGTTTACTGCTGTAGGTGAACACTCTGGACGCCCCCAGTCATCTCCTGCCTTATGTGCCCACAGTGCTTCTCCAACAGCCCTGGCAGTGTGTTTCATACTGCCTTCCAGCTCTCCCTCAAACCTGACATCAGTTCTGTCCCCCATGCATATGAATATCAGTTACCCAAGGACCTATTTTAGATGGAGTTAAATCGAGGACTTATTGCATCTGAAGAAACCATGGCACCCACCCTGCCAGCCTCATCCTTAACATCCTCTGAACCAGAATGTAGCCGGAATCCAAGAGTCACAGTGTTACTGTCATAGACTGTTGCAGTTCTCTAGATAAAGGATGTTCAAAAATATGGAAAAACCGAGGTTTAGGAAGAAATTGCTTTATTTACCAATTTACAAATGACACCCAGAGGTTCCAAACACTTTAATATGACAAGTTACACTAGAGGAAGGAGCAGCTGTCATTTAATTTTGCTCAGTGTCCTCTGATCAAATTCCTTTAGGGTAACAAAGGTCTCCCTGGTTTTACCTGTCGTATGACCTCTAACATTAACAATCAGAAGAAGCTCCCTGTAATCTCCATGTTTTTCACCCATGGGGGAAACCTCTCCATATATCCACAGTCGATCCCTTCATCATATCCCCTCTGTCTTGAAACAGAAATCTCCCTAAAGATATTTGCTCTCAGGCTCCTGCTCTCCAGTACTCCCTTCACAATCAAAGTGAAAGCCTAGGGATCATTTCCTATCAGAAATGAATTCCTGGATCCATGCCTCTGTGAACTGTGGAGAGGAATCAAGTGTCCAGGACAAAGCACAAGCCCCCAAATCCACTCAAGAGAGTGACTGAATCACTGATTGGATTATCCGGAGCACCTGGGGAAACCAGGTGGAATGGACTGTCTTTGCGTCTTGCTAAGTCACTTTAGTCATGTCCAACTCTGCAACCCCATGGATCATAAGGGGCTGTCCAGGAAAACTAATCAAGATTTGCCTTTCATTTTGACTTAAAGACAATTTCAGAGTGAAGTGACATGTTCTTTTTCACTCCTAGAATTTTCCTTCTACTGATAAGAGGAACAGGTAAATTCCTATGATATCGAAGGAAACCCCAGTCATATGCAAAAGGGCAGCCACACCAGTGGAGACATTTCAAGAGATATTCCATCTTGAAATAATTATTTCAACATAAAAATCTATCTCAAGTCACATAAGAATTGAAATGAAGAAAATCGCTTGATGAAACCCATAAAAGGAGAGTAATTCAGAGAGGCAGAAAATGAAGTAATTAGAAACAAATTACTAAAAACATCAGATGGAGATCAACAGCCAGTAGAACTTTCCAAGACGGGGGGCATGCTCCATACCAGCGTTGTATGATACAGAAACCTCCGTGCCACACATGCATCATGACAGAAGACTTGAAATCTGGATGGCACTACCAACGATGTGAAATTTAGCTATTCAGTTACATGAATTTAAATGTTCCAGCCACATAGGGCTGTATTGGAGAGCATATGGTTAGGATCTTCGGTTAGGCAGATGAAATAATTACGTAGATTTAAGACTACAGTGTTAGAGCTGAAAAACAGGGATGTGAACAGTCAAAGGTTGGAAATGAAAGTGGCAAAGAAAATTTTGATACACTATGATTCAGAGACCATAAGAGGCTGCTTTGACACCAGTGTCTAGAGACAGTTAAAACATAACATTTAAGGGAAAGAAACACTCCTATCTCAGTTTGGAGGACTCACCAAAACCCCAAATGGGAGGAGCCGATGAAGCCAAGTGGATTCTGAGGACTCCACAGCAAGCAGCTGATTTCTTTCTTCAAGGTCCCAAGCAGTCCAGCTTCTTCTTCTCTGAACAAATGCATCCATCTGCCTGTTTGACTTCCTTTTATACCTGAATAACAGCCTATAATCCAATCTACGGTTCACCTATCAGGAACCCTGTTCAATTTGATTAGGTTTTCCATACTAATAGGAAAGTATAACCCTCAGGTATGTTGAACAGCAAGGATGTAATGACATTGTCCAGGGATGGTGAGAAGATCCATCATTTCCTTCTTCATCCATAAATATTTTGAGTGCATTTTCTGCACCAGGAACCATACTGTGTCTTCAAAACAAGCAGGACATCAGACACACTGGGATTCTGAGGAAATGAAGCTGGGATTCTCTGGGATAAATTAAAAATAAAATGCAAGATGAAGAACGGCAAACACTTGAAAGATAAATAATGAGGTGACCATATAAAACCTACTGCTGGACTGCAGAGCATGACTCATTAAAGCACTGGCCACACAGGGCCTTCAAAAACATGTTAAAAATTTATTAACTGTGCACAGAAAATGGGAAGACAATTTTATACTCTATTTCTTGGTTAGTGGGGAAATCAACAAAAAATTTTCCTACATAGTAAACTATTGTAATTTATTTTACTTCCATGCCATGCACAGTTGATTTCTATATTGGAGTAGAAATATTACTGGTGTGGCAATGGTTCTTTAAGCTAAAAGTTCCTGGTTCCCAAATGGAAAAAATTAAACCAGAGGACATAGTATTTCATTGTATCTGAGGACATTTTGCTTATACCTCATATAATGCCTGGGAATCCTATTATTTCATGCATTTCAATTCCATCTCCCATGTTCATTAAAGAAATTTCATCTGAAGCTAGTATATTGAGGTAAATCCACTATAATTTAAAAAAAAAAGAATATTTTAAACTTTCCCCGTTATCACTCAATCTCCAAGGGCTCATCCTTTTCCCTTATGGTCATCAGATTCTGTGTAGACCATTTCCTAAATGAAATAGATCATTTTAAGAGTGGACACTTTCCACCACAAGATTTAAAGAACTCTTGCAGGGTCATTCATTATTTATGCCATCTCCCACATGGAAGGAAAGGAGCTGCCTTTCATCTCACTTGGGAATTTATTTCTCTACCTGTGTTTTCCCCTATTTCCTCCTGGCAATCAGAATGTATGTTATGATTTAAAATGTATGCACTGTATTTTATTTTCATCTAGTTTTTAAAGACAGTTGATGTAAAGTATGATATTCATTTCAGATGTAGTACGGTGATGCAGTATTTTATAGATTATGCCCCGCTAAAGTTATTGTAAAATATTATCTGTATTCACTGTGTTTTGTAATATATACTGGCAGCTTATTTATTTTATACATGTCAGTTCGTTCCTCTTAATTTCCAACCCCTAACTTGCCCCTCCTAGCTCCCCTTCCCCAGTGGTAACCACTACTTTGTAGTCTATATCTGTGTGTTTCTGTTTTATTTTATTTCAAATTACACACATAAATGATAACACACAGTATTTGTCTTTCTCTGAGTTATTTCACTTGGCATAATATACAGTGCAATATTAGCCATAAAAATAAAAGCAATTTGCCATTTGCAGCAACAAGGGTGGACTGGAGGGTATTATTGGTTCATCTGTGGATGGACACTTAGGTGCTTCCGTATCTGGGCTCTTGTAAACAATACTAATGTGAACAGGAGAGGTGCATGTATCTATTAGAATTCACGTTTTCCTTTTCTCAGATTTTACTCAGGAGAGGGACTTTGGATCATACAGTAGTTCTGTTTAGTATTCTGAAGAGCCTCCATACTGTTCTCCACAGTGGCTACACCAATTTGCATTCCCACCAACAATGTAGGAGGGTTCCCTTCTCTCCATATTCTAGCCGACACCTGCTAGACGTAGAATTTCAATGATAGCCATGACAGGTGTGAGGTGAAGTCTCATTGTGAATTGGACTTCCATTTCTTTGATTAACATTGTTGAGCATCTTTTCATGTGCCTGTGGCCAAGCGTATTTCTTCTTTATAAAAATGTCTGTTTAGACCTCTGTTCAATTTTAAATGAAACAAAAAAAGATCAGCAAACAATTTGGATTCCTTTTATTTCTAATGGTTTCCCTCTCATACCCTCTTTAATCCAGGTTGAGGGTAGAGCTTATTAGCATTTCTCCCCACCTCAAACAATCTTGTGTTTTGTCCCCATTAATTCATAGACATGATTCTTGCCAGCAAAGCTAATGTCCGATCAAAATTCAAGTCTCATGAGATGCCATCAGTCTTCATGTTATTTCCATCCTGAGCAGAAGTTGATTCCTTCTGTTGTGAGCCTGATTTTCCCTGGAATCTTACCACTTTTGTCACAGTTTTGGATACCAGAGGGCAGAGGAGATGGAGCTTCATGTGCTGGGTATTTATTTGGGAGCGATCTCAAGAGGAACATGTTGGGAAAGGATGAGGAGGAAGAAATCCATGCAGTCAGGAAGCCTGGCTTCGCCTCAGCCCGACAGCAAGCGCTGGCCAAGCACAGTGACCGCCGCGCCTACATGGCCCTTCGTGTGTGTCCTTATTCGGACCAAAGTGTCCAGGGCTGGATCTCCATCCCTGTGGTCAGCCTGGAGACAGGTGGCTCTTTGCTGATGAGTCACCCGCTGCGTGTGCTGACGGGTAATGTCCCCCAGGGAGTGTGGGTGACAGTCCCTATCACCCTGCAGCTCAGAGAGTTTTGAGGACAACATCCTCCGTTCTCTGTGGCCAGAGTGGGCAGTCTTGATGTCAGAGCCTCGCAGGCCCAGTCAGGGCAGATCACCGGAATTCAGCTTCGATTGGGGGGGGAGCTAGGGGGAAACAAAACTGGGAACTGCACGTCCCAGGAGGCAGCCGCCTGCCAGCCAGCTGTCCTCACTCCAGAGAGCTGGTGGTGTCCTGTGGGGGCCCCGGACCAGGCCTCTCTGTGCCCAGAAGCCCCTCCTTCCATGACTGGCAACAGGGTTAGAGCCCCATGCCCTCTTGGGGACGTGGAGTCCTTTCTCTTCCTGCTCCCAGGCTTTTCCCCCAGAAGATATTTCCCCATTAAATCTAGACTTCTGCTGCCCTGAGGACTGATGGCATGGCCTCGTCACGCACTTGGGGAAGCCTGTCCCTTCATCCCCTTAGCTACAGGTCTATCACCATCATTAATATAATAAGCACACCTCCCTCCACACCTTCATCATCGTCCTTACTGTTACTGTTGGTAATCTTCATTATTCCCATCATTCCTATTACTGTCTATTATAGTACACTGTGGTTGTTAACATACAACACTGAGGGAAATGCTCTTTGGGGAAGTGTTTCCAGCTGTACCACATGGTATTTCTCTCCTAAGGAGCTTCCTGAAATATTCCAAACTGGCCTCCAGGAGCAGAATCAACACTTGATTCTACTAATAGATAATCAAGGTATGAAACAGGTAAGAAACAGACAATTAACAGGGATGCAATGCACAGCATAGGGAATATAGCCAATATTTTATAATTACTTTATATGGAGTATGATCCATTATGGACTCCTGAGAGTCCCTTGAACAGCAAGGAAATCAAACCAGTCAAATTTAAGGGAAATCACCCTGAATACTCGTTGGAAGGACTAATGCTGAAGTTGCAACTCCAGTATTCTGGTCATCTGATTCGAATAGCTGACTCATTGGAAAAGTCCCTGATACTGGGAAAGACTGAGGACAGAAGGAAAAGAGGGTGTCAGAGGATGGGACGGCTGGATGGCATCACCAGTGCAATGGACCTGAACTTGAGCAAACTTCGGGAGATGGTGAGGGACAGAGAGGCCTGGTGTGCTACAGTCCATGGCATCACAAAGAGTCGGACATGACCGGGCAACTGAACAACAACATGATCTATTATCATCATCCAAATATCAAAGTAGTAAATTGTACACCTGAAAGTAATATCCTGTAAGTCAATTGTATTTCTGTTTTTTAAAAAATCAATAAAAAATAAGAGCAGGTTTAAAAACAAACCAAAAAAATACACAAAATGAATGAACTTTATAAACTGGATTGTGTCCCCTCCCCCAAATTCGTATGTTGAATCCCTCACGTTGAAGAGACCAGAATGTGACATCCCTGATGGGGGTTCTAGTGGTTAAGATTTCACTTTCCCATGCAGAGATAGCAGGTTTGATCCTTGGTCAGGGAATTAAGATCTCACATGCTGCAGGGTGTGGCCAAAAATTAAAAATAAATAAATAACAATTGAAGAGACCAGAATGGGGCTGTCTATGGGGAAGGGGCAGATAAAACATTGATTAGGTTAAAGTTTTCCCCTGAGGGTGGGTCCCTCGTCCCAGCAGACTGGTGCCCTTAGAAGAAAAGCAGGACACACCAGAGCCTGAGGAGGGGCAGGCCGAGAAGGACGCAGCAGGTGAGTGGTGTCTACACTCTAAGGATGGCGGCCTCAGGAGAAAACAAACCCACCCACACCTTCATCTGGAAACGTCCTGCCTCCAGGACCGAGCCTCTGGCAGCAGTTGGAAACTTCTACATGCTAAGTCACTCAGTCCTGTCCAACTCTTTTGGACCTCACGGACTGTAGCCCGCCAGACCCCTCTGTCCACGGGGATTCTCCAGGCAAGAACGCTGCAGTGGGTTGCTGTGCCCTTCTCCAGGGGATCTTCCGAACCCAAAGATCAAACCCGGGTGTCCTATGTCACCTGCATTGGCAGGCGGGTTCTTTACCACTAGTGCCTCCTGGGAGGTCCACTTTATTTAGATGAAACTAGAGCGTGCACCTCTAAATTCAGCCTGGGGGAAGGTGCAGTTTCACATCAAACCCCTCAGGATATATTTTCCATTTCTCTGACCCAGAACGATCTGGTTCTCACTGGCCTCTCCTTCCCAGGAGAACTCGTGTCCCAAGGACTCACGGTGACAGAGGAGACTGACAGTCGGCTTTTCCCACAGTCAAATAGCCAAACAGAGCTATTAGCTACATAGAGCTGGAGGAAGGTGAGCTCTCTATTACATTCATTGTTAAACAGCCTCCAGGAATACCAGCAACTGTATTTTTTCCCCTTTGACCATGTGTGAATGAAAGGTCGGTTTCTTGGGTGGATAATTATGGTAGCACAAGTTTTAAAGTGAAGTGAAAAGTGATTTCAGCCCAGGCTCACAGAGGAGGATTATATTGTCAAGGGCAGAGCAAGGTCACTGAAGGCAAAAGCATGTTTTTTATGTTCTTTGCAATTTCGCATTTCTTATAATAAGGTAGCAGGCTTGCTGTATGGAATGACAGTCATCCTCACATCTGGGATTTCTGCCCTGAAGTCTCCACCCCAGCAAGAATGGGGCCACTTTTCCCCACTAAGAGGAGCAGCTCAAAACTGCTGCAGCAGGCAAAGGGCCCAAGACACTTCCTTTCGGCACTTTTGTGGGGCCTCACCTGGCTCAGGTCAGGTGTCTCCACGTGTGAGGAAGCAGGTGCTCCTGGATCCAGAGAATGACCTACCTCTATGAGGGTGAAGGATCAATGCAGGAGGAAGAAGTCTGGGTAGGTCTGTGTTCATGCCTCTGGCTCCCTGGAATCTGCTGGAAAGTCTCTTAGTGAGCTTGTAGATTTGTAGATAAGTTTCCTCTAAGCAGCAAAGCATGTTTCTGGTCAGGTCTGATGTGTGGACCATAGCGGGGCATGGCTGCGGGTGGGCTAGGTTGGCCCCCAGGCCTGCCCTGTATCTCTGCACTCCAAGGCCTCCCCTCCCATGTCGGGTGAAAGCATCTGGACACTAGGTTCATATCACAGTGTGGTTTGGAAATAAACCAGAAAAGGTGAGGGGTGAAAATCCTTTGTCAAGTCTTTCTATAGGATTTTAAAAAAGACTCAAATAACAGAACTGGGCTGCTGCAGGCCCCTAGATCCAGTTTAACAGGCTTTTCAACTTGCTCTAGAGACTGCAGACAGCAGGGTCCAGAAAATGGACAGAAATGTCCATCTACCTCTTGTTTTAAGAGTCTGCAGGTGGCTGAGATCGAGGCCTCACACAGAACCAGCCTGCAGGCCGACTGAAGAGGTCAGTGCCAGGTGTCCCCTGGGCCAGTGTAGACAGCTGGTAACACACAACTCAGCAGGGGGAAAGAAGCCTGGAATTGGGAGGGAAAATCACACACACACACACACACACACACACACACACATTCACACGCACACACACACCCCTGCACACACAAGAGACATCTATGCATGTATATCCACACTCACACACATACCTGTGCACACATGCGCGCACACACACACCTGGAGCACACAGATATATGTGCCTGTATACCTACATGCACACACACACATACACACACCTCTGGAACACACAGATATTTGTGCCTGTATACCCACATACACACATGTGCATGCACACACATGCACACATCCTGAACTTAACATTTTTCTGTTGACTAGTAGCAGGGCTGAGACATCTCTCATGGGAATCAGTTTCCACCCAGCTGGATTAGGGTTAGTTAGTCTACTTTCTGGGCCACCGCTCAACCCAGGGAGCTTTCAGGACTCAACCTTTAGATTCAGTTGAGTTTGCCTGTCTCAGTTGTGCAGGCAAGGGGGGGTCCTTCCCAGGACCTGTGTTTGCCAGGGCCGGTGGTGGGGGTGGGGGGGGGTCTCCTCTCTAGCCAGACCTGTGTCCCTTCTCCCCTGTTGATCATTCTCTGGATCCTGGTGACCCCAGAGTTACTGATCACCAAGAAGAAAGCACACTGTCTCTGTGAAGGAGTGCAGGAGACCCTTGGGGTGATGTGTGGTCTGGAGGGTATGACGAAAGGGAGGGGGTGCCAGCCAAGACATCCGCTCTCCTGTCCCGGCCCATCGGGAGGGACTTTCAGGAGTCCTAGGACCCTGTCCCACTTGGCTCTCTGGGTTGCTGTGGGTGTGCCTTTGTTCCGGTAGGGGTAAAGGACAGGACATAGTTTATTCAGCTAGTTTATTTGGCAGTTTAATTTATAAAAGTTAAGTGTCAGTCATCTGTCACAGGAGCCTCTGTCTGTGCTCTTCCCAGAACCCAGGAATATTTGGGGCACTGGGTTTCCTCCAGGGAAAATGATTCACCTCCAGCCCCAGCGGGACTCAGCTTCGCGCCCACAGCAATGCTGGGACACAGCTCTAAGAAAATCGTGGGCTTCAACTGCCTAAGGCTGCGAGCCTCAGGTCTTGTTGCTTCTCCTACAGCATCTCACCACTCCTCCCTGTGACCGGCTGCCAAAGGCCAGCGGGAGAGGGGCTTCCCACACCCCCACCCAGGATACCGCGTTTCTGCTGGTCTGTCTAATCTCTGCGCTCAGCTCCGTCCAGAGAGGCAGGCGGTCCCGCCCGGAGCAGCCCCAGCCCTCGGCCCTTGTTCCAGGGGACCGGTCCCTGCGGGGCCACCACGAGGGGAAGCTCGGATCTTCTCTTGCTCAACAGAAACGCGCCCCACGACCACACCCCCTGGAGACCTCCCTGACTGCGGAACCGCGGTCCAGACAAGTCTGTGGCCGTTAGACCTGACCTCTGGGAATCCATCAAGTCCCTTTTTGGCAAGTTGGAAAACGGAGACTCGAGCACTCAGAGCGTTGGCTTTGAGCTACTGAGGAGGTCCGGGACCGGAAAGTGCCGGCGGCCCTGGAGCCGGCCTTGCAGTGCGCGCCACGAGGCGGCGCCGGAGAAGGGACCGGGCGGGTCCACGTTCCGGGCGTCAGGCGGGACCGGACTCCTCTTGAACGCGAGTCTGCGAAAAGCCTGGCCAGACGGACTGTTAACGGTGAGACGCAGGTGCTCACTGACCGAGCGCCAGGCGGAACGTGAGATCCGCGGTCCTCCTTTGAAAAGTGCGAGAGGCGGGCGCTGTACACGGAAGGCCGGGCGGGTGCGCGCGGAGCCGCCGACACACCGCGCGCTTCCCCTCAGCGCTGAGTTCCTGCTCCTCTTCTTGGTCCAGTGGAGCCGGGCTGTCCACTGGGAAGAGCAGAGAGCAGGAGAGGACTCGGAGACTCACACCCAAACCCACAGGGACGACTTGGTCCCGGGGAGCAGGCTCCGCGAGCAGACCTGCGCTCCGCTCCTGTGAGACGGGCACGCCCGGACCTGTTCCCGGACGGACCCGGGCGGTGGGGAGCCTGGGGCTGGGGCGTCCTCCTCACACGACCGCGCCTGAGGGACAGGGCTGGGGGGCGGAGGTGAGCCTGCGGCTGAAGGGGCTTCAAATACACACAAACGTAAGGAATCCCAATATTCCTATTTCCTAGCTTTGGTATTTCTCAACATTTTACAAATCTTTTTTCAGCTCTGTACTTTTCATGTCTTTATTTCTCTTTTCCTTTTCTTTCTTTTTTGACTGAAATGGGAAATGTTTATTGTTTAATTCTTTCTGTATTCATTTAATTTTTAATTGGACTGTAGTGGCTTTACAACATTGTGTTAGACTCTACTGCACAGGAAAGTGAATCAGCTGCATGAATACATGTGTCCCTTCTTTCTTGATTTCGTTCCTACTGAGGTCACCACAGAGCATTTCCCCTTTATTTTTCTTTTTGCTAGAGTGTTTTGAAGCAAATCCAGGGTACCGTGTCATTTCACTGATCAGCCCTTCAGTGAGCTTCTTTAGCTGATGAGGCCCTTTCTCTTCCAGCATAACTGCCACATTGCTGGCACCCTAATCAAGTCAATAAGAAGCCTCTGATATTACCCAGTCCATATTCAAAAGTATCTGGCCCTCTCAAAAATGTTTTCTTGCAACTGGTCTCTTTGATACAGAATCCAAAAAAGGCCCACCCGTTGGTTGTTTTGCCTCTTTTCTCTCTATAATGGTAATCCTTCTTTCTCCTCAGGCCATTGTTTTTTTTTTTTTTAATATTGTTTTTCCTGTACGGCATCTCATGTTCTGACTTTGACTTATTGCTTCCTTGAGCAGTTGTTTTACTTGTTTCTCTAACCTTTGCATTTCCTGTAAATTGTTAGTTAGATGTAGAAACTTCATTAGTTTCAGGTTCAACTACTGGTGAGCCCTGAGGGAACTAAGGGAAGAAACAAGAAATACCCACTATCTAGTAGCTACCAGACTGCAGCCACCCCCGATGGTGCAGCTTGAGGAAACTCAGGATGAGAAAACATGGGATCCTGGCCCCAGAGAGCTGAGGAAAGATTTCAGTGAGCCCAAACTCTTGCATCTTTCCATACATAGAAAAGCGCTAAATTCCTTAACTGGGGATATCTGTTTTTCTTTTATTAACAGTAACCTTTTGTTCTATGTGTTGTTATTGCAAAAACTCCTATATATCCTGGCATATATGCTGGGTTCACCAGTTCCTCTTCCAAACAGTTTTATCTGAGAGGCTATCTCACTAAAAATGCCAGCTGAATATACATAATTCTCAACTTTTAGGTTGTGCATTTTTTTTCAGTGGACATGCTTTTGGCCAGAATATTTCTTGGGTGGTGGTGTGCGCTTCTCTGATTCACAATAGGAAGTCCATGAACCTCTGGTCCTGTCGCTTGCAGTGAGGACAAGGTTGATCATTGAGTTTAGTTGGTCTCAGCCTTAATTTTCTATCATCAAGTTCCCTGCCAGGCTTTCCAGTGGATGTTTTAAAGCCATCGATTGACATTGTTTTAGTTCTATGATTTCATTCAGGGGTGCAAAATGGTGATTTTCCAAATCTATTATCCATTCTTCATTTATTAGTGGAATTTTCTATAAATATTTCACTCATATAATGGTTGTTTTTTTTATTGCAGCCGTGAAATTAAAAGACGCTTACTCCTTGGAAGGAAAGTTATGACCAACCTAGACAGCATATTAAAAAGTAGAAACATTACTTTGTTAGCAAAGGTCTGTCTAGTCAAGGCTATGGTTTTTCCAGTGGTCATGTATGGATGTGAGAGTTGGACTATAAAGAGGGCTGAGTGCAGAAGAATTGATGCTTTTGAACTGTGGTGTTAGAGAAGACTCTTGAGAGTCCCTTGGACTGCAAGGAGATCCAACCAGGCCATCCTAAGGGAAATTGGTCCTGGATGTTCACTGGAAGGACTGATGTTGAAGTTGAAACTCCAGTATTTTGGCCACCTGATGCGAAGACCTGACTCATTTGAAAAGACCCTGATGTTGGGAAAGATTGAGGGCAGGAGGAGAAGAGGACAACAGAGGATGAGATGTTTGGATGGCATCACTGACTCAATGGACATGAGTTTGGGTAAACTCTGGGAGTTGGTGATGGACAGGGAGGCATGGTGTGCTGAGGTTCATGAGGTTGCAAAGAGTTGGACACGACTGAGTGACTGAACTGAACTGAATGGTTGTTTACCCTAAAATACAGTTTCTACAAGAAGGGCAGAATAAATGCTTAATCTTTTCTCTTATATACCAACTTCCAGAGTGATAAGTTGGCAGCTTAACAAACTCCAAGTATAAATAATATATTTTTTTAAGTATCAGTACGACCTCATGGATTTTTCTATATTTTGTGTTTAAAATATAATTTACTGTTATATTTCTGTGTATTTAATGTGTTATATATTTTATATATTTAACCAGTTGTAGTCATAATTCTCTGCCAGGATGGAAAATGCTCCATCCTAGCCTACAGAGTCCCCCTCAGGTTGGAGCCAGTGTTCTCTGGACATTCACCAGCCTTTGGTAGCTTCTCTACTATCTAGCACAACGAGATACCCCAGAATCATCTTGTCCATCTCATGCTCCGTACTTGGAACCTGCTGTTTCTATAAGACATCCATGGCCTGTGTGCTAGGGGCGCTCATTGCTACTTCATTGTCTCTGCATTTGTAGGGTTGGGGCTGAGAAATATACACTTGTTAAAAGAGGAAAAGTCAGGATTTTATATTAATACATCCAATTCAAATTTAAGGTTATAGGATTTTCATATAACCTTTAAATTTTATATGAATCTTCTCTTACGTCAAAAATCTTGGTTCTGATGATTTTTTTCTTCCTCCCCCCAACCTGACTTTCATCTTGAGAAGCTTCAGATGGACACACAGGCAAGATTAGTACAGTGCGTACCCGTACACCTTCCCTCTGGACTCACAAGTTGTAATTGCTTTGCAAGTTTAATTTGCTTTGAGCGATTACAGAGGAAGTTGCCAGCTTTGTGACATTTCAGCCAGCCCTAAATACTTCAACTCATACCTCCTAGGAACAGGCCATTCTTCGGCAAAATGTCAGTGCAGGAAACAACACAGATGCAAATCTCATAGATACTGCTTTGAGGATGGGAACTGGTCATGTTGTGTTCAGATGACTTTGGCTTTTCCACTGGACAACAATCATGTCTTGCATCTTCAAAATATATGTTCTGCATACAAACTCTGCATACATTTTACACAAATATATGTATTTGTGAAAATGAAATTCTTCAAAGGTACTTAACAGGAAGCCACTGCCTTTCACTTTTTCATATTCACCTCTGCTCCTTCTCTGAATGACATGCTTACCCCTCTTATTTTCACTTATAAACTTTAAACACCATCTGTTGTCTCATAAACCATGAGGACTTAGTTGATACTACCCACTCCCCTAACCACTGGACCACCAGGGAATTCCTCCATGTTTTTATACTCCTTGATTTTTATGTGTGCTTGTGATTGATCAAAGTGGAATGTGGACTTGCTCTTGCCAGATGAAGGAGAGGACAGTGTGTGTATGTATCATCAGGAGTTGTAAGAAATTTATGGGAAGAAAGGGAAGGCAACCCTGTGTCCCATCAGTGGGTATCTACAGGCCTTGTGGTGCAGAAATGACAAAAGGGGCAGTGGTCCTGGAGAATGCTTCTGTAAGTGATGTGTAAGTGGATCATGTGACTGTGCTGGAGTTAGAAATGGTCCTCCAGGAACCAGCTCTTAGGCCTCCTTACTCGGGATAGTTTTATGTTCCTAATGAAAGTTCTCAAATGCTAAGGTTAACTAACCCACAAGCCACTGTCCTGGCCCAGGGAGGAGAAGGGGCAGCAGTCCTGGGCTCAGCAGATGGACAGGCTGCTGAGATTGCTGGGTCTGGGATGAGCTTCTGCTACGAATGAGGGGGGCCTGAGGCTGTGTCATTTATCACGTGCTCTCGGTCTCACCTGGACCCCCTGCATCGCTCACCTGTAGATCTGGTGATAAATCAGAGTGGAGGTGGTATGGCTCACGGCCTCGTCAGCATCCCCCAGTCCCGTACTCGGTGGGCTTTGCGGCCTGGCCTGTCTGCCTTTTCAAACTTCAAACTTTCTTAAGGGGAAAGGAGACACAAGACTCATTCTGGGTTCAAGGACGTATGCCTCCCAAGGTCCTTCTTTTATTAAAACAATGGTTACAAATACTTCACATGGCTCCTCATCCCCTCTGCCATCGCTCCCAGCTCAGAGTCAACGGATGCAGCACTTGGCTTTGCCCTTGTAGCAGGTGCCTTCAATCCTGTTGTAGAGTGGGCAGGGCGACAGGTTGCAGGTCCCCCCTTTCCTGGCACATATGTAGCTGTCAGTCCGCTGGCCGAGAATCGTCAGATGGCAGGCACCTGTGAGAAGGGAAAAGCAAGCGTGTCAGACTCCTGGCTTGCAACCACAGGGATTTTAGGATGCTCAGGGAGAGCAGGACAGACAGCCCTTTGCAAAGCATGTCACAGGGGTTTCCCTTGCAAGAGCTTTACACCTAGATGACCTGTGGAGCTGCTCATGAAACACGGCATCTAAAGAGCCCCCTCGATACTGGTGGGTTATGGTGTCTCCACCCTTAGCGAGCCCTCATTTTTTGGCATTATCTTTGAAGATTCAGTACATTATAGGGCCAAAAGGAATAGTAACATATCTCATCAGAGTGCTTTGGTTACGTTCCTTATTCTAGAATGAGTCTGTGTGATTTTTAGCAAAGCACTCAAACATTCTGAACCCCAGTTCTCAAATTTAAAATTAAGGAGACTAGATTCTGTGATCTCATTCATTTTCAAGATTCTGAGGCTGGTCATCTTTCTTTTGGTGGAGAAATAGCACTTTTATGGTTACTTTTTTTAAATTTAAACTTTTTATTTTATATTGGAGTATAGCTGATTAACAATGTGATAATTTCAGGTGGACAGCAAAGGGACACACCCATACATATACATGTATCCATTCTCCCCCAAATGCTCCTCCCATCCAGGCTGGTGTGTAACACTGGGCAGAGTTCCATGTGCTATACAATAGGTCCTTGTTGGTTATCCATTTTATATATAGCAGTGTGTACATGTCCATCCCATTATGGCTGCATTTAATTCTCCAAGAAATGTATCACTTTTTCCTAACTAAATGACAGAGGAATTGAGATTAAATGGTCTCATTATCTAATCAGTCAATGGTTATATTATGTTAAAAGATGCAGAAAAATATTGGAAAAAATTCAACATTGATTCATGATTACAAAAGAGAAAGAACTCCTACCAAATAAGGAACTGGAGGAAACTTCCTTAATCTGATAAAGAGTACTAACGGAAACCTACAGCACACTGTACACTTAATGGTCAAGCATTGAAAGCATTCCATGAGATTGGCAATCAGATGAGCATAACTGCTATTTTCATTATTATTCCACATTGTACCTGAAGTACTAGCCAGGGGAATAAGATAAGAAAGAAATAAACAAAAGGTACAAGGGTTGGAAAGGAAGAAATAAAACTGTCTCTACTTGCAGATATTATGATTATATGTAGGCAGTCTAAAAGGAATTAACAGCAAAGCTTAGCAAATTTGCTGTCCATGAGATCAATATACAAAAAGAAAAAAAAAGAATTTTACTTCTGCAATCAACAGGAAAAAAAAAAAGAAATAAAAACACCTTATAGAAGAGCATAAAACATGCCTGGTTACAAATCTAAAAAATAATGTCCAATATCTCTATCTGTAAAGAATACAGTATTTTTTTTCTTGGTAATTTAAAGAGGCCCTAAATAAGTAGAAATGCTATGTTTAAGCATTGGAGGATTAATTATTTTTAAAATGTTAATTTTCCCCCAATTAAGCTGCAGTGCTAGCCCCAAACCATGAAAATCCCAGGAGATTCTTTCAGTGAGACTTGATGAGCTGATTCTAAAACTTTTGTGGCAATTCAAAGGACCAAGAATAGCTAAGGCAGTCTTAGAAAAGAAGGCAGAAGAACTTGCTTTACTGGATTTTGAGACTAATTATAGAGCCACTGTAATTAGACCAGGTGGTGAGGATACAAACATACCAATGGAACAGGGCAGACAAATATACAAATAGAATAGCAGAAGATGCCCAGAGAGTTTCATGCAGATACTGAAAGTTGAACAACAGTGGCTCAGCATAACAGTGGAGGAAAATGGTCTCCCCTCGTGCTTGGTTCTGGAACAATTAAATATTCATAATGGAAAAAATAAACCCTTTACCCTTAGTCACACCATACGTGCATGTTAAAAATCACTGCCAGATGATTATAAACCTAGATGTAAAAGGAAAATCAATAAACCCTCAGAAGACAACACTGAACACTCTTCATGCCTTTGGGCTAGAAAAAGATTTCTTAAGGCATCAAAGTACTAACCCTAAAGGAATAAATATGACACATTTAACCACCTTAAAATAATGTGGAAAATTCAGAGTGTGAAAAACTAAGGCACAAGGTGAGGGAAGATATTTGTCATGCTTACAGCTGACACAGGGCTCCTATGCAGAATATATAAAAAACTACTCCAGATTACAGGGCCTCTCCTCTGACCAGCCTCCACACCCAGGAGACAAATCACTTAAAGGAGCCATGTCTGGGGCATCCCTGGTGGTCCAGTGGTTAAGAATCTGCCTTGCAATGCAAGAGACACATGGGTTTGATCCCTGGCCCAGGAAGATTCCACATGCCTCAGAGCAACTGAGCCCCACGTGCCACAACTACTAAGCCTGTGCCCTAGAGCGTGGGATCCGCAACTACTGAAGCCTATATTCCAGAAAGCCCATGCTCATCCCCGACAAGAGAAGCCACTATAACAAGAAGCCTGCACACGCAACAAGGAGCAGCCCCCGCTGCATAACTAGAGAAGGTCCTCATGTCAACCAAGACCCAGCACAGCCAAAAGGAATAAATAGAACCTTACAAAGAAGAAGCCACGTTTGATTCTGTGACTGTCTGGTTTGAAAGCCTCTGGGGCCCGCCTGAACAGAGATGGGGTCTCCTGCTCTTCAGGCCTGACTGACCTGCGCTTCCCTACATCCCTGGTTCCTATCCTGACCCCTTACACCGGTCCTGGCATGCTCTGTGCCTTGACAGCCCTGCGGTGTTGGAGCTGATGGCCTGCGTTTGAGCCCCTGCTCTGTTACCGATCATGTGACTTTAGCCAAGTTGTTAAGCCACAGGATGGGGGTAATGATTCTTCCTCCCCATAGCGGAGCTGGGAGGACTAGAGTAAGAGTGACAGCTCTGTTTTTTCTTTTTTTATCTGGACGTCTGGGCTTTCAAGGGGATCCCCTAGTTGCTCAGATGGTAAAGAGTCTGCTTGCAATGCAGGAGACCAGGGTTCAACCCCTGGGTGGGGGAAGATCCCTGGAGAAGGAAATGGCATCCTACTCCAGTATTCTTGCCTGGGAAATCCTATGGATGGAGGAGCCTGGCAGGCTACAGTCCATGGGGTCACAAAGAGTCGGACACAACTGAGCGGCTTTGCCTACGTACTGGGCATTCATACCAACTATCCTTCCCATGTGGTTTGTCCAGGCCCCTCTCTCATTTTGATAGAGGCAGAGTGAAGAGACAAAATAGGTGATTAAGTAGTTAATCCCACTAGGGGATTGCAAGTAGAAAAATATGGGAGACTCCTGTAAGTTAATGATCACTCGAGAGAGCAGGTTTGCTTAGCAACAAAACTGCAACAGAGGCACGAGACATGCCTCAGAACAGTAAAACGATGGTGGCATGAGACCCACATCCTGCTCAGTGAGCTCAGTAAGTTAATGGCCCCCAGGACATGCTGTCTACACACATGATAAAACTAATTTGTGGACCTAGCTTGACCAGGAAGGGATGAGAAAACTCCCCTGCTCAACCTGGAGGAGGAGCAATGTTGGAAGCATGATGTCCACCTAAGAAAGTCAAAGAAGATTTTCTCCCCCTCCCCACTTTTCCATTGTTTATAAAGCAGCACCCCATTGCCTGCCCACTTTTAAGCCTCACAAATGTCATATTCTAGTAAATTACCTCTATCACTTTGCCTCTTATTGAATTCTCTGGGCCGAGATATAAAGAACTTTGGTACCAGAGCTCTTCAGAAACACCCCCGGCCAAAAATGACTCCCAACAGTTTCACTTTCACTGGTTTAGTTAAGTTGGGGCTGAAAATCCAGATTCCCACTGCAGCCAGGCAGATAACATAGCTCTGTGAAATGAGCTGAGGTGAGACAGTAGGGACCGGTGGGGTCTGCGGTGTCCTGAGGACTGCATCCTGTGTGGAGGCAAAGCCACTCTTTAGCTGCAGCTCACTGTTGCCATGCAGGAATCTGCCACGTCTGTTGTGTCTTTAAGAGAAGATAACATGTACACACTGCTATATTTGATGTGGATAACCAAAAGGGCTTCCCTGGTGGCTTAGCACATAAAGGATCAGCCTGCAATACAGGAGACACAGGAAACGTGGGTTCAACCCCTGGGTAAGAAGATCTGGAGGAGGGCATGGCAACCCACTCTAGTATTCTTGCCTGGAGAATCCCATGGACAGAGACTGGCGAGCTACTCCCCATGGAGTCACAGAGACAGATTTTGACTGAAGTCACTGAGAATGCAACCAAAAGGACCTACCGAATAGCACAGGGAACTCTACTCAATATTATGTAACAACCTCAACTGAAAAAGATTTTGAAAAATAGTAGATACATGTATATGTACAACTGAATTATGTTGCTGCAGACTTGAACATAACACATTTTTAATCAAGTATACTCCAATATAAAATTAAAAGTTAAATAAAATTTTACAACTTTTTTAAGAAAAGAAGATAAAAATCTGATTTTTTTGTGTGATATATCCTGGCTTTTAATTGGGAGAAAGTTAAAAGAAATATTATTTTTGAAAATTCCATGAACTCGAAAATGACTTTCATCATTCCCTCACTTCTCAGCTTCCTCAACAAAGCCTTCCTGGCTCCTCAAGACCCTATCAGCTCTCATCGTCATGTGTCCCCCAGCATTGTGCCCTTAACAGCATTTCACAGCATAACTGTCATTAGCTAAGGAATTATGTAATCGGCTCTCTTGTGCTCTGCTTCTCAAATGTGTGGTCATGGATTCCGGGGCTGTTCCCCGACGCGTCCCCTGATCCCGGGGCAATGCCTGCCTGCAGCAGCTCTTAGCTGGATACTCCTTGAACAGTGAGGACACAGCCTCAGCCTTTCTCAGCACCTCTGCTGGGCTCCCATCCAGCTTCTGCAGGGACCTGGGTGCCCTTGCCATTGTGACAGCATTCCATGTTCACACAAAGACCATCCGTGTAAGCTAATAGTGGGCAACACAGGCCTTTTTCCCTGACCAGGATGAAAACTGCTCAAGAGAACACCAAGTCTGAGGATCTCCTGCAGTGACCACAAGCGCTGGTTCTCGCGGGCCTCGATTCCCCACCTGTGAAACGACCTGGTCTGAGGGCTTTTCCAGAAAAGGAGCAAACTGACCCTGTGGGGGCTCGGGGTGGCTGAGCAGTGCCGCCTCCCACCCTGCGCTAGCCCCAGGCCTCTGACATCGGGGCAGCCTGCTGGCAGGGCGGGTATTGCAGGGGCGGCTGCAGCAGCCACAACAACCAGCACACAGCAGTGAGGACGCAACCACAAGGAGGGGAAACACCCCAGCTGGCGCCTGTGTGCAGGGCACCTCGGCCCTGGGACACAGGCTGGGGACACCGGTGTGTTCTGACCCAGAAAACACCTGGGCTCTTCCTCCCCTCCAGACGTTTGGACATCCCCCAGAAAACATGGTGTTAAGCTTGCCCATCCCTGCAGCCCCCTTTCCAGGTGTGAGCATCTCAGGGCTCAGAGGGGGTGCTCAACCTGCAGGGACCCTGCAGCTCAGGGCCCCCATAGCTCCAGCCCAGAGGTGGGGAGGACCCCACTCCGCCCCTTCTAGAAGAGGAATGGGGCTTGGCGAGCAGTCCGGAGGGTCCCCATCCTGAGGCCCTCTTTACTGCTGCTTCTGTGCAGACAGGGCTTGCCTGTCGTCCAAGGGCAGTACCTAAGCTAGTCCAGTTTACACTGGGCGCTCCACCATATCAGCTGCCATTTCTGTAAGGAGTAATTAGTAAGTTCAGTTCCTCCTGCGTGTCCCTGGGAACACTCTTTTTTGAGGCTTTGGATGAGATGCTTGTAATCCTACTTAGATGTCACCAACTGAAAACAACTCTTCATGTTAATATAGTGGCTTTCAAACATTTTGAGTGTGAGCTGAGCTGCAATAAGAGACTTCGCACGGCTGCTCATGAGCACACGTGCTGTGAGATGAGTATGATACCAGAGCTGGACAGTGACTGCACGGATTCCTGGGCCTCTCTTAAGGGTCCTGACTGGAGACATTAAAACTCTGCATTGGAATACTTCTGAACCCAGCTGGCCGAGGGGAACCCTGAGGAACCCCTGGAGTAAATGAGGCACAACTGCACAACGACGTGCCGGCCTGGAGGAAAGCACAGCGGGGCTTGCAGAGAATTCCAGAACTTTAACGCGCTTAGAGCCCTCTGCCACAGCCCACTCACTCTGCCAATGAGGAAACTAAAAGCCAGAAGAGGTGACTTGCTGGAGATGACCTGGGAGTGAGTGGCGGGGCTGGGATAAACTGTGTTCTTGATTCTTCTGGCAGGCAGGGGCTCGCCTTCTCTTACACCAGGGGCATTGCTGCTTTGACCCCCAGGAACTGGCATCCCCGGGCCTGACACAGAGCTCCCCTGCGGTGCACTGGGGAATGGGTCACCCTGGAGGATGTGAGCGGATTTCTCAAGGAAGGTGGATCCCTGAGTGCCTGCACGCAGGTGAGTCAAAGACTCCGGCTGAACTGGTCTTGTGGGCAGGGTAGGAGGCACCTGCTTGCAGGAGAACACCTGGGAGGACCCACCCCGAGACCTGGCGAGAGACAGGGTGCACCTCTGGGCTGGCTGGGACGCTGCACCTCTCAGGGGTGAGGGGGCATCTTGCAGATGGAGTAGGGGTCCCCTTCACAGAGGATACTTTCTGGATGCCCAAGACAGAGACAGGGCTGGGGGTGTGGGGGCTGCCTGGCACCCAACATCCCCGCCAAGGGCTAAGGGGAGGGAGCCCTGAGGGAGAGAGGAGAGAGAGAAGGGAGTCTGGCCCTCCTGCAGCTCAGCTGCCCTTAGGCTCCCAGGAGAACCAGCCCCAGGAGGCTCTAGGCAGGCAGGTGCACTCCTGCCACTCAGGATGGCCTGGACCCCTCGGTTGGACTGCCCCGCGCCATCTGCTCCAGACAGCCCGCTCAGCCCCGGGGAGGCTTTCCTGCTGCCCGGGCCTTGGGTTGCAGAGGCGGCCAACCTCAGACGTGACCCCAGGTTCCAGCCCCGGGTGCTGCAGGGTCCCGGCTCACCTGGGCCCAGCTGGGAGAGGAGCAGGCCGAGGGCCAGCAGCAGCAGGTGGAGGACCCTCATGGTGGCCGCAGGCAGCCGGAGGCCCGGGGAGGGAGGCTCAGGGGAGGCCGGGCTCCAGAGGCTCCAGAGGCGGCAGGGTCACCGCCTTTATAGGGCTGGAGGATTGCACAACCACACACACGGACGTGAAGGGCGGCGTCCAACGGCCAGGGAGAGATTCTAATAAATAACCCTACTCGTCAAGCCCTGAGTCGTCGGGGAGTCACGTGGACGCGCATCTCCCTCCAGCTGCAGCTGGATCCGGAGCTCGGCCTGCAGGCCTGGAGGCGGCTCCTCCCGCCTGCTCTGCTCTGGGTCCCCGTGGAGCCGCTCAGAGGGAGTTTCTGGGACAGGAGTACACGCTGGAACCCCTCCCGCCAGAGGCTCGGGGAGCCGGAGAGGTGGCCCCGGGGGCACTGAGCCAGGGGGCCGCCCGGCTGGCAGCCCGTGTCAGGCCTTTGGCTGAGCTGCGCTCTCCACGCGGTGCCCCAGACTTCACCCTCCTCCCTCACAAAAGCCAGGCTGTTTGTTGCCTTTCCTCCAGCCTTTAGGGATGGAATTTTCTTCTGCCCCAAGGTTGACTAATACTAGTCTTTCTAGTTTCTGGCCTGTGTTGCTTTTTTTAAATCAAAATGTTCTCTCAAATCTTTTATAATCTATGAGCTTCTTCTGTCACTTAAACTTTTTTTGGTCAAGACAAATTTTTCAGAGCAGTTTTAAGTGCACAGCAAAATTTAGGGGAAGGAACAGAGTTCATTGTATTCATTTATCCTTTCACTCACTGACTGAAGTGTGTATGTTTGGTTCCTGTTATGTGCTCGGTGATGTTTAGAGTCTTGGGGTGCAGTGAGGAACAGATTTATGTTGTTTTCCTGCAAAAGTCTAGCTGAGGAGATGGAAGAGCAGACGAGCCGTCACCATGGCACTCGCTAGGTGCTCTGATTGGCAGCGAGCGAGGACCCCGGAACAAGGCCGGTTTCTGAGGGAGCGTGTGTGAGTTTGGCTTTGGTTTCCTCCTTAGGCGATAGGGAGATCTTGGAAGATTTGAATCAGGAGAAATACACAAGCCAGTTGCCCTGTTAGAAACCATCTCAGGGAAGTGTGGGTGGAGAAAGGCAAGACTGGACTTGGGAGGACAAGGGAGGAGCTGGTGGAGCAAAGAGGGTCCTAACTAAGGTCGTGAAGGGGGGAAGAAAGGAGACGTGGATTGAAGGGATGTTAAGAAGGAAAAGTTCCCCAGACACGGAAGGAGACAGATTAAGCTAGATTCCTGGCTCCATCCAGGACCAAGTTACCATAACCTGGAGGAAGAGGTGATTTGGGGAAATGGTGGTGAGTTGCATAAACATTTCCATGGAAGGAGTGTCTTGGTTTGGGTTTCCCGAGATGCAGAATGTGCGCCCAGAACGTGACTAAAGGTGGAGAGCTGGGAGCATAAAGAGGGGGGAGGTGACTGGACGAGAAGAAAGAGGACAGAGACGTGAGCCTCCAGCCGGTGGTTCCCTTCCTTGTCAGCTTCAGGGCTCCAGGCTTCCGGGAGGCCCAGCCCTCGCGTCTCCCTCCCGCTTCCTCTGTGGAGCCGCAGGGCCTGGCACTGTGGCCGGGACAACCTCTTGGCTGGACTTGCCCCATCTGTGAAGCAGGGAGATTCAGACAGAGCCCATCAGGTCGGGACAGCTGGCGTCTGTGGTGTTTACACAGATCAGGGGAGGGATTGGCAGTGCACCTGATGTGTGCGGCGCTCCTGAGAGTAAGAGCAGCCACTTTCACTGACGGCTCACGGGCCCCAGGCCAGCCCACGTGCCCTGCATGAATACTGAGCATGGAGCACTCTGCATCAGAGATGTACTTGATTGCATTTCAATGATATTTATGACCTAACCACCATGTGCTGAAGCCGCAGGCGTGAAGAAGGCGCCCTGCTCCTGGGGGGCTGGCGGCTCCTGTTGGGGAGCCTCTCTCTTATTTCCCAGCCACCACCTCTGAGAAGTCCTCCCTGACCTCCCCTCGTCCTAAAAGTGGCTGGTACTTCTGGGCTGCCCCTTTTACAGCCTCCTTCCTGTCGAGTCCTTGGCATGCTGGCTGCGTCCCCCGACGTCAGTGAGGTCTGAGGGAGGGGCCGCATGGAGACCCCCATCATCTCCCCTCCCAGGAGGGTCTGGTGTCCGGTATAGATGACCAGTCGCTGGAAGAAATGAATGAAATGAGTGCTGCCATGGACTGAATGGTGTCCCCCAGATTCCCATGTTGAAGCCCTGTGTTTGGAGGTGGGGCCTTTAAGGAGGTAATTAAGGCTGAAAGAAGTCACAGGCCCCATCCCTGTAGGACGGGTAGTCTTATAAGCAGAGGAAGAGATTCATTGCTCTCTTTGCCACATGAGCACATAGTGAGAAGGCCGCCTCCAGAACCACGAGACAGGAGCATCTGTCCTTCAAGTTCCCAGCCTGGGTGTTTGATTACAGCAGCCGTCCTGACTAATACACCTGTCTGCACCTCGGTTAACTCTCTGTCTCCTAGGACAGTCCCAGAACTCCCTGGACTCAACTCCTGAGAGCTCCCCAACCTCTTGGCACCCCAACGATGGCCCCTCTCTAAATGCCGCAGCCCACGTTTGTGAAAGGATTTCAATCTGAAATGGAACGGGAAGATATAAAATGGAAAATCTCATGCATGTGCCCGCAGAAAAATAAAACTTCAGGACTAAGAAACAGAGTTTCTGTAAATGCCCAGTTTACAGAAAAGTGATAATATTACAGTTTTCTTAAATGAGAGGGCCTTGGTCAGAGGTTGCCTCCTATCAGCCTTGGAAAGTTTGCTTATGGTTCCAGAGGTGAGAAAAAGAAATGACCTGGGTTAGGCTAATCTGAGCTTTGTTTGCTGCCTGGGCTGGTTCTGTCTGTTCAGGGAACTTTCAGGGCTGGTCTCTGTACTTTTTAAACTGATTTTTATTTTAAATGACTAACTTACTCTCCCTTCTTTACATTTCCTGGCCATAAACACAGCCTACCCCAAACCTTTTACTGACTCACTTCTACAGTTTGTGTGCCCTGATGTAATTACTGCTGTTCCTGATAAACTCATCTTTTTGGCAATTTTGAGCTTATCTCGGTTTACCTCTTCATGTGGGTCCAAGGTAGTTATTTCCATTCCACTCTGCTGAGTCTGAAAACAGACTCAAGGCCTTATTTATAGTTTGGGGCCAGGTCAGGAGGGCCTGCATCCCTCACTGCTTTCTGCGGAACAGGGATCATTAATATTCTTTGCCTGAGAAAGCATGGGTCAGGGTCTTTTCAGGGACAAACTTCAGATTTAAGCACATTTGTGTCGGGTAAAAGAAAAAGAAAATCTACGTGTGTAAATAGAGGGGAAAGCCCGGAGACTAACAGAAAGTCACCAAATGGAAGCAGTATTTGTTTCTGAGAAAGGGCAGGGGTTTGGAGGGACAGGCCGGGGAGAAATCCTCCCTGCGTTCCTGCGGCAGGTTTGCATCCTGATTATTCGGTTAGCGGAGCTCACGTGGTGGTCGGGGGTGGCACGTGCCCTGGAATTCCCTGCACTTGCCCCTGTTCTCTCCCTGGCGCCTGACCTTGGTCGCAGCCGGTTGGGTCCTGTCCTTGTCTGCCAGTCTCCAGGGCACATCTGCCTCACAGGCCGCGTGGTCGGCCGCTTCCTGGAGGCAGGAGTTGTTTGCGTCAGGCGTTGATCACACCCTCAGAGCACGAGACCTGGGGCAGAGGTGCAGGAGCATCCACTCTGGGCCCCACTGGCTGAGGGATCAAGCTAGACTCTGTGGGGCTGAGCTGCTTTCGGGGACCCTTCCGAGAGGTGGTCCTGGCTGTGGACACTGGAGCTGGGTCCTCAGTGCCAGGAGGGCAGGGCCTGAACGAGCCCCTCCCCAGCCCAGGTGTGATGCAGGGATGCCCACCCCTGTGCCCGCAGCAGCCCACAGAACCATCAGGGCCACGAGGGGAGCCGGATCAGCCCCGGTCAGATAGACTGAATCATGCTTCAGAGCACTTTGAAGACACACAAGATTGGTTGTGATTCTTTTTTTTCTAATGCATTTTGAAAATTGCACTATAGTTGATTTACAATGTTGTGTTAATTACAGCTATACAGCAAGGTAATTCAGTTATATATATACTCTTCTTTTATTATTCTCTTCCTTTGTGGTTTATCATAAGATATTGATTACAGCGCTCTGGTAGTAATTCTACAATCATGAATAATCTCTAATATAGAACCTCCTGTCTCATCTCCACTCAGCCCTTCTTCCCTTACCTAGAAGGGCGAACCTCAGAAATGGATGTCAGTGGATGCTCTTAACTTCCTCCCCATCTTTGCAATCATCCTCCTGGATGCTCTGCAATGCCTCTGACTTCTTTTCCAGAATTGAGCGTCAGACAGTGTCCCTCTCTGGATACAGACACAGTAAGGGTATCGTTTAAGTCATAACCCATGGGCTCCCCTCAGGCTGTGGTAACCGAGCTCTGACATTTGGACTGAGGGCGTAGAAAGCACCTTTGCACAGTGACACCCAGAACGGCCTCTCACCACCAGGGTAGCCCCCTGACCCCTGAGCTGGAGGGACTCCAGCATTAATGGAGAGTTCCCGCATCCCCCGGCAATGGAGTTGGAGGGGGAGGGTCTCACTGAGACCTCACGTTTGGTCTGCCTGGTACCAAAGTCTGGCCTCTCTGATCTGGCTGGAGAGAGCTGAGCCAGCCAGAGAGCCCTACAGTCTCCCTATCCTCCAAGATGAGCACTCAGGGTTCACAAGGTCCTTGATTCAAGGGGACTCGCTTTTGCTTCACACGACAGTGAACCACACCTGCCCGCTGCTGAGCATCTGCAGGTTGCTTCTTAGTGTTACTGTTGTTGAGAACAAAGGCAATCGGAAGCTCCTTAGAAACTTCAGGGGAGGATTGGCTCATCCAGTCTACTCTGGGTGTGGAACAAAAGAGCTTCCAGGCCCAAAAGGAAGTAGAACCAGTTTGTATGTGCAACTATCGATTCCCACTGGAACCCCCTCGCCAAAAAAAAACTCCTCCTGATGTAACCAGCTCTTCCTACGGATAATGGGTGTGCTGACTTTCCAGAACTGAGAATAACTAATGACGTCTGAAGTCTGGAGCTGGCAAAGTCACCAGGATCTGGGAAAGTCTGAGGTGCAGCTGGAAGGAGGCAGATGGTGTGGTGGGAGGCCTCCTGGATGAAGAGGAGGGGGCCTCCTGAATCAGGGTTCAGGAGCTGCTGGGGGCAGATGACCTCAGGTGTCCCAGGCCAGCTGTCACCCTCACATTCCCATCTAGCAAAAGAAGGCAGTGAATTCTATGGGGCTTTTTAGGGGCCAGTTTCCAAATGAGGCAGCCCTTAGAATCACCAGGGACACCTTCATGAAATAGCTCCTGCTTGAAAATTGCCAGGAGTGAAACTCTAGAATCTTATCTTTTATTTAGGGGCTGTGCCACACAGATTTGAAGGATCGTATTTCCCTGACCAGGGGCTGAACCCTTGCCTCGGCAGTGAAAGCACCTAGACCTAACCACTGGACTGCCAAGGAATTCCCTGGAATCTATCTTTTCAACATGAAAAAGACTCAGGCAACGTCGTGTGCTCTTAGCACAGAAGGAAGAGCTTCCTGCAGGCCTTGTGGCCTCCAGAATTCCCACCGGGCTGGCAACGTGAAGGCAGCATTTGCTCTAAAGGAGTGGACTCACAGGGCTTCCAGTTCGGCTGCTGGACAGGTGAGGGCCCTGTGCGGGCGTCAGGATGGGAGGCGGGTCATCCTGGCCCCCACACATCCCCCTGCCCCCACCCAGATCCACCTGTGGACTTCACCATCCGACTTCCTTGCAAAGTGCTCAGAACTAAAGCAAGTTTTATTTTTTCACAGCATTGACAGTGAATGTGTCAGAAAGGTAATGGGGCAGCTGTCTTAGCAGGAGAAAAGGGGGTGCACTGCCTCCCAGCACCCCATCGTCCCTGTTTATCGAGTCCATGGAAGGCCAGGGTGGGTGCTAAACCTGGGTGCTTGCTCCTCCGTAAATCATTATGCGCCCGCAGTCAGTTCCCTGGCTCTGAGCCAGACTCTTCTTTTTTCTCCTTAATGAACAAATATCACAATACCTGCCTGAGCCAGATGTTATGCCTGAGCAAAAGGAACACCTTGCTGGTCCTAACAGCCCTCATATTATGTGTTGCTTATTCATAGACAGAGATGGAAAAACTACCAAATTCTTGTTATTTGAATATATATTTCCAAATTCCTTGTGCACCACCTGCTTGTTATCCAGGAACCAGGCTTTCTCATCACGGGAAACTGCTTCTATTTTCTCCAGACAGATGCTGCTGGGTGCTTATTGCCATTCTAGAAAACCAAGAGGCCTCTCCAACAGGGGCCCAACAGAGTCCTCACCAAGTCCTTTCCTGGGCCTTGGCTTCTTGCTTATTAAGAATGAGTTTATAAAATGAAAGACAAATTTATGGTTACCAAAGAGGAAGGAGGGAAGAATAAATTAAGACTTTGAAATTAACATATACAAACTACTATATATAATAGATAACCAACAAGGACCTACTGTATAGTACAAGGAACTATACTTAATATTATATAATAACTTATAAGAGAATGTAAAAATGATTATATGTATTATATATTATATATAATTATATATGTACATATAATTGAATCACTTTATTATATACCTGAAACTACCACAACACTGTCAATCAACTATATTTCAAGAAACATTTTTAAAAAGGAATGAGTTTGTAAGATAGCTAAACAAGGACCTTCTGTATAGCACAGAAAACTATGTTCAATATCTTATAATAACCTATAACGGAAAAGAATCTGAAAAAGAATATGCACACACACATATGTATATGGGGCTTCCCAGGTGGCACAGTGGTAAAGAATCCACCTGCTAATACAGCCCCAGGAGAGCTAATTTCCACCCCTGGGTTGGGAAGACCCCCTGGAGGAGGAAAGTGACCACCCACTCCAGTGTTCTTGCCTGGAGAATCCCATGGACTGAGGCGGGCTACAGTCCATGGGGCACAGAGTTGGACACAACTGAGTGAGCACACACAGTATACCACATCCACACACATTTAAAACGGAATCATGCTGTTTTAGGGAAATGAAAATGAAGTCTTGTTGGGGCTTCAGAAGCAGGAGAGCAGGCCTCCGACTGATGTCTGGTCTGCCTGGACTACGTGCCTGCTCACAAACACACCAATTGTCGTCAGCAAGCCAAGCAGCACGTTCGCTAAGAGAGGGAGTGGATCTTGGCATTTTCTCAGGCCCCTGGAGACCTGTCCAGCCTCCGGGGTCCAGAAAAAAACTCACAAGATGAAATAAACAGCCTTGTAAAGATTAAACTTAAGCCAGAGCTACATTTTTGTGTGCAAACTGATGATGGTATCAGTGGGAGGCCTGGGATTATAATTGGGAGCTCCCAAAACTTCGATCTGAAGTCTTGCCCTTGAGGTGGATGCGCCATCTGGGGTGAAGGCATTCTGAGTCCGCTGTGGTTTTCCTCCAGGCAGCCCTGATGTTTCCTTTCCCCCGCTCAGAGCTTGTGTTTCCAGAAAAGCTCAATGGGCTAGTTGGACCTGGCATCCCCGTGCCACCCTCCCGTTCCTAACCAGGGGGATGTTGGGAAAGTTCTGGGTTTTTTCCTAACCAAGGTGAGGTGGCCATGGCATTTGGTACGTAGAGGCTGAGAGGATGGCTAAGCATCTGGGTATCATCCGGTGCAGGAAATGGCCCTCTGGACCAAGGACCGTCCTCCCAAAGGGTCCGCGGTACCGGGTCTGAGTGCCTAGGTGAGAGGTGGGCAGACCATTCTGCTCTACTGCTTATCATCCCGCTCGTATTGTTGCTATGACCACGTCAACCGCCATCGGCCTGGATCGGAACAAGGATTTATCATGAAATCAGTGGAAAAAGCTGGTATGCTGTGGGCTTGATCTTATCAAAGAAAATTGGCAGGAGAGCACACTAGGCTCGGGTTACTCATCAGGAAACAACTGCGGGGCTTCTAGTCCCTGGCGGAGCCGTGAGGTGATCCAGGCCTGCCATCCGACATCCGCAGGCGGTGAGGGCTGGAAACAGGGTCTGCGCGGGACTGAGCAAGATATGGGCCAGGGATGCCCCACTCTGCTCCAATGTTCTCAGTCATCGCCAACTTCACAAGCAATCACGGGGGAAGCACTCCAGGGCAGGAGCACACTGCGTTCACAAGAAGCCGTTCTGTTAAGAATAAATGTGCCCTAAATTACTCTTAAATAGCCAACACCATTTTGAGTTGTTGGAGGTCAACAGTTCTCCCAGTGCACTTGGATCCAAGTATCACTGGTCCCTTATGGGGTGCTCCATTCCTCCCACAGGGTGACTGCTCATCTGCTGTGTGTCTGGGACCCTCTCACTCTGGGGTCAGCTGTGGTCGAGGTGCTAGTCTGCCCACGGGCACCGTCACCCCATGCCTTCACGTGTGGGCCTGAGGCAGCCTGCCCACGTGGGGAACTCCTATGAGATTTGGGGTCTGCAGTCTGGAGACTGTGACTCTAGGAAGATGGGGGGCCTTCTCGGACTCCCAGGAGTGAGGCGTCTCACACTCCCAGGACCAGGCGTGCAAAGGGGCTGAGGCTGTGGTCGTGGGCTGCGGCCCAGCTGGGGACACCCCCGCAGGGCCCGCTGTTTGGACAGGGGCTGACTCTCTCTGATTCAACTCGGGCGATTCAAGGACTGCGGGGTCCTTGATGCTAGAACTTTCACTTCAGTGGATGAGGGGGAAGATGGACAGCAAACACAAACAGTACACACACGTGTATGAGTGATTGTATGAATGAATCAGCGTGTGAGGGAAAGGAGGCGGCAGAAAGGATGAAGGGGGTAGTTCAGAGGGCGGGTGGGGGAAAGTGTCTGAGGAGGGAGCCTGAGGCCTGCACAGGATGAGGCAGTGGCTCTGTGCGCGCCTGCGGGCAAGAGCTGTCTCGTTGCTAGTTCCCAGTGAGGCACGCACTCCCACGGGGGGTACACATAGGTGCACACACATGCCTGCATGTGCACACACACACACCACATAGACATGCACCCATCCATTTTATAAGAGGTAGAAAGAAAATTGTCCAGACTGTTATCCCTTGAATATTTCCGGTACAATTCAGCCAGTGTTTTCTAAGCTCCTGTGTTGCACCTGAGAGTTGGTCACTGAACAAAAAGTGTTTCAGGAGCAAGAACACGGTTTCAGAAACAGCTCTGCTACTTCTCCACCTTCAGGTGAAGGACTTGCCAGCAGATCTCAGACTTGCTGATCATTTAAAAGGCCACATCAAAGTCAAATAAACTAAGTGATTTAGAAAACTTTGCTTAGCAAAAAAAAAAAAAAAAGAAGCCAAATCCAGAAAACACATCTTATGGATTTTATGCAGGTTGATGGAAAAGCAAAATGATAACATAATTTGAACTTTTCTTGTTAAAGAAGGAAAAAGGACAGAACAGGAGCCTAGAAACATCCAAGAATGGTTATTTAGTGAAGAAATCTGCTTTGGGCTCTGGAATCATGTATGTTTGTTTATGTATATGGTCCTCAGATCAGAGAAACAAATCAACCTGAGATCACTTTCCAGAGTTAATAATGGCATTTTTCTTACATTAAATGAATGATTCCTCTTTTCTCAATGGCTGAGAGTTGCACTCTCAGCTCCGAGAGGTGACGCTGGCCTGTCCGAAGCTGCAGAAGGTTTCTTCCTCCTCTCTGAAAGGAGGTGGGGTCCCCTCTCCCTTCAGGAAAACCTGAATTATTTCACTTGAGATACAGCCTCATCAAGACCAGTGTGGTAAATGTGAGATGATGATTTTTACAATCTGAGAATCTCAAAGATCATGAACAGCTGTCACTGCATGTGAATCACAGGAAAAGTTCTGTTGAAATGTTTAACCAGCGACATTTCACTTTTCTCTAAGTTAAAAAACAATTTTAGTCACAGTATTTTACAACTGCCCATTGACCAGCCAGAACTGCTTATTCCTGGTTCAGTCAATGTTCTCAATGACCTTAACACTTTCAGGTAATAAAGTCATGAGACCAAAGGGCAGAGAGGAAAGTTAGACACTAGCAAAACAGAATTCTGCAGACCCTGACGGCATGTGCCACAAGTTACCTGCCCAGCAGCAAACAGTGATACAGATGTAGAGTGTTCAAATTCTAAATTCATTGAAATAAAATCCAAATGTAGGAAGTGCAGACCCAGAGTCTGTTTCTTTCATGGAAGAATAATCTGCATGAAACCACTGCTTGTTGGAACTGAGGAAGGGATGAAGACAAAATCTAAAAACATAGAGTCATTTCCTTCATTTTGTGTAAAAGCTAAAAATAGATTCTGAGTTAGTTGAAGAGTTTGTTTTTAACATTCCTTCTTTCATTTCTGTGGCTATTTAGGTGTTTTGCCTCATAAGAGTCACTGAAGCAAAGCACAGAAATAGTTTAGATATTATACATAACATATATTGCCTGCAGGTGGCAGCATCACCACCCTGGTTTGGTGGTAACAAGCGAATTGCAAGCTTTAACTTGAGGAAAGTGTTCTCTCAGCATGTTCACAGGCCTTTCCTATGAGGTAATCAGTGTTACGCATGTAATTTCTGTTAAGTATCCAATAAGGAAGGACAGAAAGACCAAACAGAACAGCGATTGTCTGTGTTCAGTGCCTGAAAGCACACCGCCAATGGACAATGCATGCAGTTCATTTTCCTTTTTATTCTGTGTGATGTTTGTTCCGATTATGTTTATTGAAATGAAATGTTATGTTTGTTGAATCTAATTTTAAAAATAGGACTAATAATTTTTACATCTTTTAAAAATGCACAGGCTGGCATACACAAACATAATAAAAGTTTTCACCAGGAAACATTTGGGAAGCACTGCTCAGA